AAGACATAAATTATTAGCATAATTGATAAAGAGACACGAAGATATAAGTATTTTTGTTGTATGTTTGTTTTATACGTATTATCGCTACATGAAACTTACCAATTAATCTCACATCTCTTAATCTTGCTTCAAAACAAGTATTCGTTTAAATAATAAATGTCAATACAACCCTTAAACCCAGAACGTCAGTGCGTGATGAGAATTTGAAGGCCCCTTCGGACGCAAAAGTGGCAATTTGTTGCAAATTGAATCTAAAAAATCGATAGTCATATCTGTCAACGATAAGATTGGAAAACGTAGCGGTACTGCACGGCGAGGGCTTAACTCTCGGTCGGTTGGTCGGCTGAATGTTTGCATTAGGGAGAGACCTCGTAATTACATTTCTTGTTTAAACACGAAATGCAAAGGAAATTGTTCTGTTGTAAGGGTGGAGTTTAACACTTCATATAATTCGTTCTCATTCTTCAGATGTCAGACTGCGATATATGTTTGTTAGCAGTTCGATATCCATTTGCCCTTATAATGTTACAATTTTCTGTTGTCCAAATTAATAAGCGCCTCTCGCGTCAGGAAATACAAACAGTCGTGGAATTAACCTCCCACTCTTTGGTACAGCAACACGTAGGGTCCAGTCGGTTTTAGTTTAATCCTTTTGTACACAGAATCTCATCTGAATACACAAAAAAGAGACTTTAATGCAACTGAAAAATAATCTGACGGATTTCACTGACTGTATGACAGACCACTTTAATTCATTTTACGTACTGGTAAATCTTTTTTTAAAAAAACCGATGTTCTGCAGATATACGAATCACAGTTACAAAAATATTTCTCTGATCAACAATTTTTTTTTCCAATTGAACTCATCTGCAAGCAGCGCATTTAATATACACGGCTCTGTCCACTCATGTGATTTCCTTCCGTCTCTCGACTTATATCAACAGAGACAAACATGGCGTACTTACGGTGAAATTTTTTTTTTATTAACGACGTTTGGAGGACACGGTCAAATGCTCCACTGTTTCTCACATTACCCCTTACCACTTTCAGATTTAGACGCCTCTCGCGTCAGGAAATACAAACAGTCGTGGAATTAACCTCCCACTCTTTGGTACAGCAACACGTAGGGTCCAGTCGGTTTTAGTTTAATCCTTTTGTACACAGAATCTCATCTGAATACACAAAAAAGAGACTTTAATGCAACTGAAAAATAATCTGACGGATTTCACTGACTGTATGACAGACCACTTTAATTCATTTTACGTACTGGTAAATCTTTTTTTAAAAAAACCGATGTTCTGCAGATATACGAATCACAGTTACAAAAATATTTCTCTGATCAACAATTTTTTTTTCCAATTGAACTCATCTGCAAGCAGCGCATTTAATATACACGGCTCTGTCCACTCATGTGATTTCCTTCCGTCTCTCGACTTATATCAACAGAGACAAACATGGCGTACTTACGGTGAAATTTTTTTTTTATTAACGACGTTTGGAGGACACGGTCAAATGCTCCACTGTTTCTCACATTACCCCTTACCACTTTCAGATTTAGACCGGCGGAGTGATTTATTTATTTATTTAGTGTTCTGTCTGACGACAGGTCCATATGAACAGGATCCTTCCATCCTTTTCTCGGACTAGGACCTGTTCATATACGTTCTTGGCAGATGATCCAGAAGTGGTTTGCCATTGCCTTCTTCTGTGTGTGAATGGAGTAATTGTTGGGATGCCACGGAGGAAAACTCCGTGTTGCCTAGACCACGGCCTTGACCAACACAAGTTATAAATTCGGGCACCGCCGGCAATCGAACTCGAGACACCAGGATTACAAGGCCATCGTTCTAACCGCTGGACCACCGTTGCGGTAGTGATTTATACACCCAATAAATTATTTGCAATAAACAATATTAAATCTCTCTTAAGTGTATTGAAATTGCTTTCACCCACAAAGCATTCGGTTGTTTTCTGCTCCTTGTGGATAGAAATACTAAACAAGTCACAGGATAAACGTAGATCTCTCCCGAACAGAAGACGAGCGACTTCCGGTTGTATCTTATTACATGCCA